ATGTTTGAATATTTTACCGATTAGTACACTGAAAAGGAAACATTAAATTTTAACAAATATCTGTTTGAATAGTTCTAAATAAATATTTACTAAATATAAACGTATATTTATTTGATATGAAATTATTAATTTAATTAATATTGTATTAAAAATAAATATTTACTGTAAGTAAATGCTTACTTAGCACTATTTAAAGAAATATGTGCTAAAATTTTATAATTTTTTTCTGTTGTTTCTGTATTATTTTGACAAAAATAATATGATTTTTGATAAAAAATTAAGTATTATGTATCAAACGAAAATATCTTTACTGTTCGGACGCCAACTATACTAATATAAAAGAAGGGACCCTAGAATGAAATATTCGACATTATTTTCACAAATAAAATCCTATTATAAAAAAATTATCATTTATTGCGCACAATCTATATATGCGTACATTATATAAAATAATCTTCCTTTTAGAATTTTAATTTACAGTCAAAACATTTTTAAATATGACACGGTCGATGGTCTCTTTCGACAATTCACAAAAAAAAAAGAATTATTATAGCTGTAAAAAATAATGCTGTTTGCTTCTACGTTATGGAGCAGCTCGTATATCACAGAGCAAGAAGATCCAGTTGACCAGAGTTGGCATTAATCGATGTCGATGTAACACGCTCCTGAAATGTGTCGATCGCTCATGAAAGTCACTCGCCAAGTAAACATCTCACATTGCGACAAGAACGTTCATTTACGCGATAATAAATATGCGGCCCTTTCGCTTTTTCGATACTGCGTTGATAAGATGTATCACTATGGTTCAACTAATTATCATTTGCGTCAGAACGGTAGTCTTATTATCAATATCGTTGTAAATAAACAGCGTAGATACACTTGACTCGCTGAGACGAGCAATCAATTTATAACATTCCGTGCGAGATTTAATTCGAGTGTCGTTTTCTCTCGGAGCTTCAATACCGCGAATATCGACTTTGATAACGCAAAGCGAATAGGGTATAAAAGAATTATAGAGATATTTATAGACATTAATTCTGTCGGTATAAATCGGATAATTCTTTTATTATTCTCAAACACTCGGATATGTTATTCTAGCATCTGCAGTTATTTAAAGACCTATCGCAGATATAGGTTGCCGACATGATTCATAATATATCTTGCGAAGGGGAATATAATTCTACATAACGTATTCCCTTGTTTTATAAGTCACTCGAATCACTTACGCAGGTGTTCGTAACGCTTTTTTGTCTTTTTATCCAGATATTGATATAAATTTAATAACTGCGAATTGAAGTGTGCCAGCTTTTATATTTATTTTGTTTTATAAAATATTTTCGAACCATTCGTATGCAGCGTTCCAGGAATACACTTGACTGAAAATGTAAATTGTTTTTTCGATCTAGATTCGTTGATAAATTAAAATATACATTTTTTTCGCTACGCAGAAATGGTCTGAAAATAACATCTTCTTAATTAGCAAACGGCAATATGCGTTTATCTCGCACGCGGTTCAAATGAAATTCTGCGTGCAGAAGCTACACGTGAAAAAATCCGGGATATGAAAAGAAATCCGTATAACGGTTTTATAAATCCAAGAACAAATTGCACGTTTATCAAAAGGATTCTACGCTGCGAGTAATTTCCGTTTTTCGTGAAATCTTAACTCATACATGAACAAGTGGACTTGTTAAGCGCATGAATCACCATTTGAAAACGCTGGAAAACGGTGGTTTCTGAGTACCGACCTTGTGGGAAAGCGATCTGGGAATATTTCTTCGGGTCAACTATTTATAGTTTAAGCCAACGTTTTCATCTCCGCCATCGTTGATGCTCGGACGAAAGGCTTGTTGACATCGTGCCGTGAATTTTTGCTGCCGACAGTTTGCTATTGATTCACGTTGGAATGTTTGAGCCTGTCATTTTATTTTGTAAATCTATTTTTAAGACAGAGCTACAAATCTTTTTTTAGGACAGAGATTTTTAGGTGTTAATTGTGATTGTTAAGCTATAAATAATCGTAGTTTTTACTTGCATATAAAGCGTATAAATGTACGTATAAACGTTATTGTTAAATCTATAATAACATTATTATTAAAATATTAATAGTGTAACAAGTCTAATATCAAAATTAGTGCAATTTTTACGAAAAAAGAAATTTGAAAATTACTGAAAAGAATGAAAAACAAAATAACATCACACCATGGAATGTAAAAGAAAGTATAGTTAACTTGTTATCTACATAATCCACCTACATAGTTTACAAGAATAGCGTCCAATTTCATGCCAATTGTGTCAACTTCATGCAAATTAGACGCAGAGAAATCGTGTACAGGCGTAATCTAATTATCTCCCACGCAACCTCAATTCATGTTCTCAGGCGTAAATGTAGTACTGTTTATTGTACATGGATTATAAAATCTGTGAGATTTGCAACGAATTCGTCATAACAGTTTTTTGTCTGTCGTTTTAGAATCCATATAGGTTCCAGTTACCCTCGCGGCGAACACGCAGCAGCGTCAAAGACGAGAACAATCGTTGGTTTGACGAACGAAAACAACGGTACTCGTCATCGCACACCGCGTTACATTCTATTAATAACTCGGTACCGCGGCTCTTTGTAAATTTGTCGAGGGTCGCGGCGAGCTCATTGATTCATTGGTCATATCGTGGGAGAATGATATGTCTCTCGCGGAAGTGCCATCATTGTTAGACTACTGACCCTCTCTAGAATGAGAGTGTCAAAATAGTATTCGATTAGAATTAACCGGCATCAATCATGCAATTGATCGAAAAGAATTATTTATGGCAATTTATGACACAGTTTGACGAAAGAAATTTTTTTTTTCAAAATATCACAGTACATATTCCGAAAAGTTTTTCACATTGAACACGATATCGTTGACCGAATTTAGCACTCACTAGCGGATCAAAAGAAGAGAGAGGAAGGGGCATGACTCTTTTTTTTCAAAAATATTGGTGTAAAGTGTTACATATTTTTTAAATATTTCCTAAATGCTTAATGAGACAATTTTGATTTCAAAAATATTTTTTAATTAAAAAAATTTGTATAGATAATTAATAATTAAATACATATAGATTCCATTATATTATTTTTTTCTTGCTAATATACATATAATTTTAAATAAAACGTTTTATAAATTGTACATTTAAATGATACTTTCAATGTAACACATCACTAATAATTCAAATATTCTACTTTTCACGCATACATATTTGGCATAAAAAAAAATTTCGCTTGCGACACGCCAATGCCCTCACCTCTTGAAAAATTTCTGAATCCACCAATGGTAGATTTTTAATAAATAATGAAATAGAAAAAAAATGACATTTTTATTATATTCAATACTTTTTATGGCAAAACAAAAACTGGTTTTTATATAAAGTCCATCGAAAATCTAAACACACACACACAATTCAAGAGTTTTTAAATGAATTTTAGTTTATGATCATATGACTTATTTTTATTAATTCTGGTTGTTTAAATTTTAAATCGGTGTGTAATTATTCAAATAGTCAACATAACTTAATGATATAATAAGTCATACGATGAATTAAAATTTATTCGAAAATTTTTTAATTATATTTTTAGATACCTTTATAGTAGATTTTATTATTTAGAAATAAATTTTACCATAAAAAGTGTTAAAAATAATAAAAATTTTTTGCCTATTTAATCTCAATTTATTTAAGATTCTGATGTGCTACACAAATTCAATGGCATTGTTGATTCAGCACGAAAAAATTTTTAGGATATGTATTATGGCATCCGAGAGAAAATTTGATGATGTATTTTATATAATTCTTCACCAACAATTATTAACTATTTGTATTTTGAAATCATGATCAATCGCTAATTGCTTGTTCCATTTAAATTCTGTGAACTGGCAGTTACTAATTACAGCAGTAACTTATTAATTGCATTTATAACTAGTTGACGGTCAGGCGCTGCTTCATATTTGTAGATGTTTGATGATGAATTGTTACTTTTTGAGATTCTAATATGAAAACTTGTATTTTCGGTCAACTAAGGCAAATCTATTTGTCAGATTAAATTAAATTAGTTTGAGTTTCTTATGTAATTAATTATCATAATTAATAAACATTATAATATTATCTTAAGTTTCTTATCTACGTATAATATCTTCAAGCGAGTTCAAAACGATCGATCATTTCGAGTATTTTGAATGACGGAATCGCATAAATACAGATATAACGTAAAACTGAAAAATGATTGCAGGAACGTTAACAGTTCATATTGACGAAAACGATTGATATTTTCGAAATGGGAAATGAGAATGAAATTCTTGCCGTGTACAAGCACAATTCTGTTACCGAGTGGTTGCAGAAAACGGGACAAGCCACGGACTATGTAAATAATGGTAAATCGATAATTATGAATTTCAGTCTTCCTCCAATTTTAATCGCTATTTATTTTATATTCTTTATCTTGAAACGAAAAAGTGTTTAAAGATAAAAAAATATAAAATACATGAGAATTTCATAATATTTATGTATAATAAATCTTTATGTTTGTATAAATTGTAGTACAGTAAGATGTTCAAGAAATCATCAAATTCTATCACATTTTAATATCACTTATAACAATACGTGCTTTTCTAACTAAACACACGTATGCTTTTCACATGTTATTTTTTTTAATTAAGATCATAATATATTTATATTTGTATATGCAAATTTTGGAGTGTATGAAGAGGAGTATGTGATAAAAAAGCAATAAAGTATGTTGAAGTACAATAATATTGTTAACATCAAAATAAAATAATTAAAAATTTCTTACATTTAACTAAAAATAAATGTGTGTTATTGATTTGGTTCAGAATTTTGTGTTTTTAAATTTTTATAGTAGGGAAGATATTTTCAATAAACTGTAACAGGTTATCCTGGGTAAACAGATTATGCAGATTATTCTTTATTAGCGAATCTCATTTGAACAAAATTTTTTATTTCTGCTGCAGGTAGTGAAAGTCCAGTTTTTGGCATCGAGGGTGCTGCTAACGCTGCAGGCACCAGCAGTAGCTTGAGGCTTGCATCTCACGAGTTGCCAAATGAGATTTCGGCACCTTATGAAGTACCTCAATTCCCGATCGAACAGATCGAGAAGAAGCTTTTGATCCAACGACAATTGACCGTCAAGTGAGCATTAATTCTGATTGCATGTATTTTTACAGCGCTTTTTGGTTTATGCAATTCAAATCGGTTTAAGTAAAGACTCTTATTATGAAATTATTTATAATTTTATATTTATAATCTGATATATGTAAAATATTTTAGTTTCTTAAATTTTATATTTTAATTTGTAAATAATTCCGATTTAAATACATTCTGATCGAAATATATTCTCGCGAAAATTGATGCCAGCTAGAACCAAACCGATCCGAATAATATAAATCGAAAAAAAGTTATTAATTATATAATATTGACGCGAAAGAGTTGTTGTATTTATTATATGTATAAGTTGAAAAAATATTAATTATTTTTGCGAGAAGTCATTATGCCCTAAAGACCAGATTTGCTGTTTTTCCACAAGTTTTATATTGAATGAAGTTTGAAGTTTTTTTGAAAAGGGCATTGAACAATTTGTCTCTGAGATGAAAAGAAAAGTATTTTAGTATATTTTCCTTTTTATTTAGAGAGAAATTGTGCAATGGCCTTTTCAAAAATCTTCAAACTTTATTTAATATAAAGTTTGTTCGGGGAAAACAACATATATTTTACATCAATCTGATAGGTCAATTCCTAACGTGTAGAATTTGTGTTAAAATTATATTTCAAATAGATGGATTGATTTCAATTAGGTTAGATAATTTCATGTTAGTAAGTTTAAATAATTATCTTAGATAATTATTTCGCATTGAAAGAAGTTAATTTCAAGGGATAGAACGACACCGATAAGCAGGTGGCTATAAAGCTGAGATCGCGATATATTTACGACTGTACGGAAGGTACTAAAATATTATCGTTATACCGAAGGGTATAAAGTACTTGGCTGTATGTACGAAGTAATACACGTACGCGATCGAGTATCTAGTAAAACCAAGTGTTATAGATCACTATACAGGGTGTTAATAATGTGGGTATTTAAGATTCAGACATTTTGAATTAAAATTTGGTGAAAACCGATAGGAATATAAACTGAAATTTTTTAGAATAGTAATTTTAAGGATATTTGGAAAAATTACCTCATCCAAAAGGTTAGGATACGTTTAAAAAAATATTGTGCTTAAACGATGTAAACATTTTGTTTTCAAAATGACATAGCATGTCTAAATGTCGCGTGGAATCGATCATATCGAGTAATGTTATCATAATCCGTTCGGAGGTTTTTACAGAAATTAAGAAACGCATAGACGACTGCTTATTTTTTGCACAGCACTGAGATCGATTTTTAAACGTGAGAATATTTCTACCGAGAATATTCAGAATTATCCTGCTTCTCTGTTGAAGGAATATCAATTACTCTTTAATTCTTATTTAAGTTTTTAGCGGGAATTTAGTGACAATAAGGGAGAAAAATTAATTTATTTGTCAGAAAATCCGAGACATTCAAGGAATACTTTGATTATATTTGTGTGATATAAATTATTGTAAATAGTTAATATGATTATCAGGGATGCTGTGCTTATTGTAGTTATAGGCCGATATTTATAGTCCTATATATAGGTTCTTATATTTAAGACCGAGTGAAGCCTTAAATAAAGCCTTAAATGTCATGAATCAATCACAGGGCAATATTCATATAGTTAAGTCTTATATTTGGGATCGTCTCAAGATGCTAATATGGATTTTTGATTGATTTGTGATATTTTAAGACTGTACTTAGATCAGTCTTTTAAATATAAGAATATTGATTGTAAATACCGGCCACAGAGCTGTATTAGCATCTTAAAGAGTTACTTAAGACAGTCTTGAAATAAAAAGACAGACTGTGAATACTGGCTATAGTATCGATAATTGGACGTTGATACGACGCTTAGGGATAGCTGTTCCACTTCCTGTGTCATGGCATAATAATGAGAAAATGTTTTATATACGATGTTTTATGTATACTAATAGAGAATGCCAACTCGGCAATGTTCGCCAGGTTTGCGTCCGCGCGAACCAGTTCGGAATTATTATCGTCGTTAGATAATTTTACCAGTACCGTGATGTATTATGTAGATCCGAGTGAAGGATATAAACGGATAGATAGAGACTGGTAGGTCACGCCGCCCACGTCTTGACTGGAACGGCCAAGGCAGACATTTTGCGAATTTTGCGCGAGAAATGTCGCATTTGCTATTCAGTGAGACGGTTCTGCGCTCCTTCGAGTTCCTACGTCTTTTGAATTGCTTTGTACATTTTCGAAAATGTTTACTTTTAGTAACAACAATCGACTATTTTATTTATATTGTATCTATATGTATAGAATTTGTGTTATACCTTTAGAGAAACTTATTACTGAGAATTACTACAAAAACTATAATAATGAAATATTAATATTATTTCAGTATTGTTTCGGCGCAGTATTGAAAGAAATCACACTGGCTGGATTTCTAATTTGATAATATTGTGGAAATATGAGAATTATTATATATAGGATCTTTTATGGAGTTTTAATACTGGAAAATAATAATTAATTATTTATTTTGAATATGGAAAACACTAGTAATTAGTGCTTTACATACTCAAAATAATTAATCGATGCCTTACAGTATTAAATTTCTGTAAGGATATAGAGAATTCTAAATTTAGATACATTATATGTTAGCAGCAGCACTGCTGGTGCGTTACCGATTATATATTCATACATTTTGTGCTTATCTGTCTGTATAATATGTACGATAGTTTGATTAAAATACATAATTAAGTTCGAAATACAATATTTGAGTATAAAATTTTAATTTAATTAATTAAACGGTATTATTGGCAAAATTTATTTATGGATTAAAATTTAATTATAAATTTATAAAAATGAGAGGAACTGTGTAACATATATTATTTATATTATTTTTCATAAATCTCTTTCTCTCTCTCTCTCTCTCTCTCGACTTGCTTTTTATTTATTTATAACTACTTGCTGTGCAACAATTTTTAAAGTACTCTCATCTCATTATTTTTTTTCTCGCATTTCCTCATGTTTCTAGAGCAACTTTACCTAGTTTAAGTTTTTCATTTTTTTTTATCTTATATTTTTATATTCTTTCACTTTGGCACTTCAGTTCACTTTGTGAACCTGGTTTTATGCGCTTTATTCTTTTTTATTTGTTAATTAACTATGTATTTATTTTTGCCAAAGCGCTTAAGAGGATTTTCCAAAGTGCTCAATAAATGATAATTTTTCTTTTTCCCTCTCTCTCTCTCTCTCTCTCTCTCTCTCTCTCTCTCTCTCTTTTTCTGTCTCTTTCTCTCGACTGATCGTCGTATTTTAAATTACAGTATCAATTGTTTAGTAAAAACTATATGAAGAACGAGCAGTGAAATATTTTCGCATTTCGGTGCGCTTGTCTTAGCGCTGAGACCCTGTCTCCGCAGATTTGACTGAGTATACACTATTATTTATAAATATGGCACATATGATTGCAAATACATTTATATTTATATACTTACAGCGTATAAGTATTGGGAAAAAAGAGCGCATTCGCGCGTTATTTAGATCGACTACGCAATCTTTGTTTACCAATTGCACGAAAACTGCGGATTACCTTGAGACGGCCGTTGATCACCGATAAAATCGTCGTCGTCGTCGACGTGAACGGAATTCTCGTCGTCGCAGCCAATAAAGCTGCGATCAATAATTCAACGCGGGACGTATGCCTGTTTGGCCTCGAGATGCTTAATGTAACACGATAATTCAATTCGAAATGTATGTCATAATCGTTAATGCTTATTTAAAAATAGAAGTATCCCAGTAGGTAAAGGTTTGACGAAAAAGATTGATCCGCGAGCTGTGAAAAGAACTGATAAAATCTCAAACAACACAAATAGCTTACTGAGAGATGAGACGCGCTTTTGGAATTGTCAAACACAGACCTTGTTGCGACTCTGTATAACGATCTATGCTTTAAAAATCGATTGTAACTGATCTCCGTCGTAAAACAAAAGCCTACTAAGCTTATTCAAGGTAGTTTCTTCCCATTCATATTTCTATGTGTTGTTTTTAACTAGAAGTACTCACTTCAACGGTATTGAAGCGAAAAGCGATATTGTAACGGTGATAATATTATATTTTGAGAGAAATAACAACAATAAATAACACAATAGATAAACTACTGGAGGGCCTAAGTAGTATAATTAAGTAAACGATAATTAATACGCGCCCGTATCACGCTACTCTTTAAATTCTTTAGAATTGAATCTCACTCTACACGGTGAAAATTGGGCCCGTCTTGAAACAGAGTGGTTCAGTTTTTAATTTTTAAGGCCCGGTTCCGCAAATGTAAAAGATTAGCTTTAATCTCGTTTCAACTTACTCCTCATCTTGTTCCAATTTTAAATTTAGAAAAAGATGAGGAGAGTAAGATTAACTTCAATCTTAGTTCAACGTAGTTTTCGTCTTTTTTCCAATTTTAAAATTGGAAAGAGATGAAGAGTAAGTTGAGAACCGAGATTAAAGTTAATCTTACATATACCGGTACCGGGCCTTAGAGTGAGCTTTCACTCTTCAGAGTGACAAGTCACTCCAAAAATTTTAAGGGGTATATTTTAAATATTTTAATGACCCTATCTTCAGTGACGCACTTAGCCTGGACAAAGGAAACGAAGTACAATGTAGGGAAGTTACGTCATGTAAGCGGAAACGATGTATCGGTCGTTTTTACATGCAATTGGAGACCGCTGCAAAACGCGCGGAGGGACGCGGCTCGATCTAAGCGCGGGGATGGGTCGAAGGGGTTGCCCGCGATCAACCGCCCTCCACGGCCACCCGCTCAGTGCTCGTGCGACCGTCGTTGATATCGGACGTACACCCGGCGGAGTACGCGACTTCCGGCACGGTCAAAAGAGTTGCATGCGTGCGGAAAAGGTTTTAGATATACCGTTCGCACGAGGTTCGTGTGCCGCGCGCCGTGCTTCGTATCGAAACCGGTATTAATAACCGGTGATCCGAGATACGAGGAAAATGGACCTTACGCTAAGCCGTCATCGTTATGATTATAGAGATTATTTCAAATCACCGGGATCCGACGTAAACGGCAATCGAGTTCGATCGCGGCGTGCAGTGTCTAATATTCTAACGTATATATATATAGCTATGGTCCTCATAGAAAATTAGCGTCACGTAACGGAAAACCCGCGAAGATGATCTAATTGTTAATTATTATTTTTTAAATACAAAAAATATCCTTTATAATTCGACAATTATCGACAATGTCTGTTGATAATTACATTGATCGCTTCGTTGGTTTATTAAAAACAAACATTTACCTGATACGAGTATAATGAACTCTTCTCAGATTACATTAAATCGCGCTTTACCTTGATTTGGGAATTACATATTTTGATTTATCGATCCCCTCAACACGCGATGTAATTACATTACTGAAGCTTGAAAGCGTTCTCGTATTGCTGCAATGGCAGCAACACGCGTTCGATCCACGTAATTGGTATAGCGTGAGAGATGTAGCGAGCTAAGAAGTCTCGCGTTTAAAACGTGATATAATCAGACTGCAGCAACACTAATCCTTACGCGAACGACACTGTGGACGAGATCGTCCGATGCTGGCGAGTGAGTTAATTGAAGAGAAGGACGCTTCTTGCTTGCGCTTAAACACCGCATCAACAGCATCGATGACGCAGAAACGTGCAATACGCGATTCGAAGATCTTCCGAGAATTTGGTTCAAATTTAGAATCTTTCTTTTTATAATCCGTGAGATTTGTTAATTTAACTGATTTCCGCTTACTTGCGCGTTGCCCTTATAATTCACGAATTTAAACGTAGAGAACTAGGATGATTAGCAAGGAATACAAAAAGAGATTCAAAAAGAAGGAAATTTAAAGAATCTCTGGTAATACGAATAAATTTCTTTTACGATATTTATTCGAACATGTCGTGCATGAATTAATAACATTTGCTATTTTGGCAGTTTTGTCACTCTAAAAAATATCAATACGGATGTAATACCGCATGCGTCTATTTGTATTACAATAATTCTCGTGTAGGTGTTAACATTAACACGATGTGAATTTGTTATTATAGATTTTATATCAATTGATATTTTTAGAGTGTTTCTATAAAGTTTTTAACTAGCGTTTAGTGAGATTTATTACGTATATGGAAGATACAGAGGTGTGATAAACGCGTTTACCGCAGCACTGTATAGTACACTGCTATTACATCGTGAAATTTTGTTACATCTTTCGCCACATCCCACAATTATTTGTCAACTAAACTAATAGAATGTAAAATGGAAATATACAAATGAAAAATATAATGGAAAAAAAAGAATATTTATGTATATAAGTATATATAAATAAAATAGCAGTAATGTTAATGATAGAAAAATTATATATTTTTACATAATAGAAATATACAAAATGCTTCTACCTATTTCTTCGTGTGTGTGTGTGTGTGTGTGTGTGTGTGTGTGTGTGTGTGTGTGTGTATGTATGTGTATATAAATTATTTTTATTTATACGAGTATATCGGAAAAAATTTTATATTATTTTCCGTTTTTCTCTATAATTTAATTTGATTTTGTATTTTCTGAAATTCTTCGCGTATTTTCATTTCACGCAGAATATTTTTTGTGAGAAAAGCATGTAATTTTCCGTGAAATAATTATGGAATATTCAGCAATGAAGCCGATGGAACGATTTCGTTCATTTGACAGAACACAGCAGGGTGGTGAAATATATGCATGAGATTGTGGAAAGAACTGGAAAAGGATCACGCTGCTCCCACTGTATCTTGTCAGCTTCCATAAAGAGAACTTATCGGGTGTTCCGCCCGACTAACCATGAAAGATCGCAAAGATTTCCGGCCGGGTTACCGAAGATCAGGCGACACGATTGATCTACGATTGTGATCGAGGAAAAACGAACGTGATTTGTCGATTGCTACACGGGACTGTTACAAGACTGAAAATCTGTCTTCCGTGATAGGTTCTCATGTATCGTATCCGTGAAAACTCGTGGGGGAGCGTCAAATGAGCGTGGAGAAAAGCGCGGCACGAATTGGCGTCGCGTTATTCGACTCGCGCTTTCGCATCGCGATTTATTCCGCGCGTAAGAGCGATCGATCTCCAGCAAGTGGTATCAATCGCGTAACATGTTCGCTGACGCGAACGAGTCGAAACGATGGACGAGGGATAATAGGATTCTCCTGAGGTAATTTGTACTTTGATATTATAAGAGCAGAATGGCGAATTATACCTATAATTCTTGTGAACGTAACTCGAATATACAATTTGGTTGCTAACTTTATTGATTATCGATTTGATCTATCGCTCTTATTTTAGTGCGCTGTAAATTACTACTATAATATATAAAAATGCTTAACACACATTATAAACTTAATCCGGTGGCATGGGCGTAGTCATTGTGTTTAGAAGGGGGCCAATTAGAATTGAGACTTTTGTTATTTATGTAATTATTAGTTTACAATTTTATGAAAAAAGAAAGTAAATTAAATTTACTTTCTTAAATTATTAAATTAATAAATTAAATATGTGTGACTCTTTCGGGGAAGGAGAGTAATCAAGTTGTATTATTGGATCCTTTTATTTTATATTATAATATTTTTAATTAATTACTAGAAGTAAAAATTATACATATTTAATTTAGTAATTTGCTTAATTTTTTTTACAAAATAGTAAACTGACTTTTCGAATTAGAAAAACTTACATTTATAACAATAACCGTCTTGGATTTCCAGAAAATTGTTTTAGAATTTCCATCTTTAATTCTTTTTTCTTCTCCAAATTAATTTTTTGTGAATTTTTTGATATTTATTGTAAATACTCATGAATTTTAAAATTATTTTATTGTACTGTTACTACATCAGTAATATTTATAACTATATATTTTATATGATAATTATATTAAATTTTATTATTTTTTTAATTTTTGTGTTCGATTTAAAGGATATATTGAAAATTATCTTAAAAATATAATATTTTATTTCGTAAATATGATTTAAATATTTCTTTTATGTCCAAATATATCATTTTTAATATGCAACTCTCTTACCCTGATAGTATATAACTATACTATAATAATAAATTGGAAATAAATTGGGATATAATAAAAACAAGCATATTAATGGAACATCTCAATTATTGCGCGATGCAATAATTAAAGGGCGGTTATACATGTATATTTCAGAGTTTTTATTTGCTCACATGCATATAAAAAAAAGAATATCGCCTCGATATTTATTGATAGCCTCAGGTCAAAAGTCCATAACGTATCTATCACTTCAAATTTAACCATCTTTTTTTTTTATGATTGGGAACTCTCGACCACGAAAGTATTTTATTTGCCTTTGTTGCAACTGTAAATTAACTCCGTCATAAATTCTCCCCGACATATCGGCATTGTAAAAGATAATTTTAAATATTGTTCTGCACAGAGCAGCAGTTAATATATGCATAATGATATAAAAAAAATTCCTTGTTCTAATTTAAAGTGAAACGAGGATGAGATAGAATATTGAAGCTTTTGAATTACATATAGATATTGTATTTTATTACTCGTTAAATTTTGTATAGTAATAAAATTTACTAAATGTCAATTTTAATTATAGAAACATTTATTAATATTGAGCATTAAAAAATAGTTGTAATAAATTATATTTTAACAAAAATTTTTATCATAGATTTAAATAAAAAATTACTTTTGCAAATAATTTTAATATTTCTCGCGTCAGAGATATTATTTTTAATATCCGATATTTTGCAAGATAATTATGAATTTTTTAGATAAAATATTTACTACATACATAGCGAAATTTTATTTTATATATATATATAATAATGAAATTAATTTTTTCAAAAAGTTAATAGTTTCTTTTCTTGTTTAACAGAGCTGCAAGAGATCTTGAGGAACGTCGCAGTCATTATGAACCGTCACTTCACCCAGGAGTTCCTGATGACATCGATCATAGTTTCAAGATCGAAGAAAATGATTTCGTGCCTCATTTTCAACGAGTCTCCATATCCGGCGAAGATACTTCCGGAGTAAGTTTCAGACTGTTAATTTTAGTCTACATTTGGTTTTTTAAATAAATACCTTATGATTTTAAACTACTTTTTTTTAACGAAAATCCTATTTATTATCATTTACTGTATATGTGTGTGTGTGTGAGAGAGAGAGGGGAGATAATTTAAAAACTATTTAACTATCATTTAACGTATCCTTATTATAATTATAATTTGTCAAATGTATAATAATTAAATAAAAATTTTATGTGATTAAATTTACAAATGATAAAAATACAGAAAAGATGTATTAGCGCTCTCTCTCTCTCTCTCTGTAAAATATTTTCTGAGAAATAATTACAATATAAAGTATTATCAAGTAAAATTGGCAAGATAGAAATGTAACGATCTAGTGAAGATGTAATTTTATGGTTTCGCGGGTGCTATTATGCATAATATGTCCTTACCGATTTTGTATGAAATGGAAACCTTGGGACTGCGGATTTGCGCATGAAACCCTTGGTTAACCTAGATTTGTCTCTTCTTCCTTCATCCTGTATCTACACTATTAAAAAATGTCTTTAATCTAATTTAATTTTGATGACTTTAATCTAGTTTAATCCTGATGAAATATATCAAAATCTTTTATGCAAAATATTTATTAAATTTTAAATCAAATTATTGTATATATATATATTTTTTTACGTTATTTTTTCATATTACAGAGAATTTTATATTGTAATAATTGATGAATATTTCGTAATCAGAAAAATTATTAAAATATTGTTAATTCGAAAAATTATTTCATTGCGGCTCGATTTTATTAAAATTTATTTATAAAAATTATACGTAGGTACCTCTGGAAGATCTTCAACGGGCCTCCAAGATGTTGGTGCAGGCATTGGCCATACGCGAAAAATACATGAACAACTCCAAGCAGAGCTTCCCCACTATTACGTCTAGATTCTTACGTAGTGTCGATAAAAGACCACTTACTACGGATGACGAAGTTCATCACGATGATCGCAAGGCCATCGAAGGTATCTATCGTTAATTGAGAAGTGGTTCCAGTTTCACAGTCATATGTTGAAAATCCAATTCGATATCTACCTTAGTCACACTTCCCGTTGGATATCCTTTCCTCGTGTCCGATGTGTACCAAAGAAACGTGATCTTACAAAATATTCCAGTGCAATTAACATTAACGTTTAACGCTTCAAGCGCCGATGGCAATATAACGACGTCAAGCTATCCGTACATGTGTTGTGTAAATTTTTTTCTTTCCTTTTTCGTCGAACGCAGCGATGTGTATCTAATCACGCGACTCCTCGTGCGGAACTTCATACAAAGCACAGCTTTAGTTTAGTGTGCCAAGCACTACACATTTTTAGTATGAGTTAATGAAGAGTATACGATGCCCGTTTTATTACATATTTCTTAAGGGAAAGAGCTGGTGGATATTGCGAAAGAAATCGAGGGCAGTCAATCCGACGCGGACATCGACGCGCTGATCAAAGATGTCTCTTGGACAGGTCTTCCTAGTACCTATTAATATCCTTACCTTGAATTTCCTGTTGCACGCTGTTTTTAATCATGTACTTGTTATTTCTTAAGAATCTTTTTACCATGCGCGAGAGGTAGTTTTATCTCATAATAAATCAAACAGCGCTGCGGCAACAAACACTTGGCGATGAACGATACTTCTCTAACACGCAGCTCGATCAATTATTAACAGATCATCCGGTACATGCGCCTGCTTCTCGGGGCGATCCTTGGGAATGTGAATTTCCACCAGCGAAGAATTACAAGATCGTACCAGTCAACGGCGTGTTCAACCTGTTCGCCAATGACGAGGACCTGGCCAACGGCAAACCGCTTCCGTATTTGTATCCGGACCTGGCGGCCTTCGTCCAGGACATGAACCTCCTCTGCGCTATGATCGCCGACGGACCCTTGAAATCCTTCTGTTACCGAAGATTGAGTTACCTCTCCTCCAAGTATCAGCTACATGTGTTGCTAAACGAACTCAGGGAGCTGGCCAGTCAGAAGGCCGTGCCGCATAGGGACTTCTACAATATCAGAAAGGTTTGTACACAAACAATTCAAATTCATATAAAATGTATCAATATCATGATTTGTAAGATCAATATTTATCATAAGATTAGAAACAGAATAATGCAATTTTAAAATAGAAAATTAAAGAAGACTATTGGCTGCTTTCCAGCTACGACACAAGTAGACACTGTGTAACACAGTGAATCATTGCATCCTTGTTGTTTGTCTACGTTAAACGAGGATGAAACGATTCTCTGTGTTACACAGTGTCTGATTCTGTCCTTGCTGGAAAGCACCCTATATTTTTTTATATATTTTTTTTATATATAAAGTTATAATATTTTAAAAGTTGAGCTTTTCTACTTATATCTCAGCAACACATGACTGAGTTGTGCTATTATATATATATGTATATATATGATTGATTTTGCAGGTCGATACTCACATACACGCGGCTTCGTGTATGAATCAAAAGCACCTGCTTAGATTCATCAAAAAAACGTTGAAAAATCACGCTGATGAAGTGGTCACTTGTTCCAAAAGCGGCGAGACTATGACACTCCGCGAAGTTTTTCAATCCATGAATTTGACAACCTATGATCTGAGCGTAGACATGTTGGACGTGCATGCAGTAAGTATTTTTTCAAAAAGTTTACATAAAGATATCGAGGAAGTTTTTAAAAAAATATTGCACGTTATTTTCTTTTTTCCACGCAGGATAGAAATACGTTTCACAGATTTGACAAGTTCAACGCGAAGTACAATCCTATCGGCGAGAGCCGCTTGCGTGAAGTTTTTCTTAAGACCGATAACTACTTAAATGGCACGTATTTTGCGCGGATAATTAAGGAGGTCGCGAGCGATCTTGAGGAGTCTAAGTATCAGAATGCAGAGTTGCGTCTTTCCATCTATGGCAAGAGTCCGGAAGAGTGGGATAAATTAGCTAAATGGGCAATTCAGAGCGATGTCTATTCGGATAATGTTCGTTGGCTTATACAGATTCCTAGATTATAGTAAGTCTATCGCATGGTACGCGTGGTACTTATACATTTAATGGATTTCTCATTGCTTGCACTTTATGTTGTAGTGATATCTTTAAGCTGAACAAGCTTATGACGAACTTCCAAGAGATTATCAACAATATCTTCCTGCCACTCTTTGAAGTGACTAATGATTCCAGTTCTCATCCGGAATTACATAAATTTCTCCAATACGTACGTTTTCCTGTTTCCTGTTATTTTTGTTTAATTCATTTTTGTTACTGTTTCTAAATGCTTTATATTCGCTATGTTATTATATACAGGTAATAGGCTTCGATTCCGTGGACGATGAAAGTAAGCCAGAAAATCCTCTCTTCGATAAGGATGTTTATCCACCTGCAGAATGGGATGATATAGAGAACCCGCCATACGGATATTATCAGTACTACACTTATGCGAATATGACGGTTCTTAATCATTTTAGAGCGTATGTTGATTATAAAATTTTTCTATTCTATTTTAAGTAATTATCTCATTATATATTCTGATGATGTAAAATTTTTTATAGAGAACAAGGCTTGAATACATTTGTCTTGAGACCTCATTGCGGTGAAGCAGGACCAGTTCAACATCTCGTGTGTGGCTATATGATGGCGGAGAATATTTCGCATGGCTTACTGCTCAGAAAAGTTCCTGTGCTTCAATACTTATATTACCTAGCGCAAATCGGCATCGCAATGTCACCGCTCAGTAACAATTCACTTTTTCTTAATTATCATCGTAATCCACTTCCAGAATATCTTGCTAGGGGACTATGTATAAGCTTGTCTACAGACGATCCTCTCCAATTTCACTTTACCAAGGTAAAAGAGAAATTATTATGTATTGTAAACAGTCTAATAATATGTAGATTATCTTTCTTCGTAATTTATAAAATTCGTTAATGCATATAAATAATTATTGCTGTTTATTTAATCAATTTAATGTATGATGTATTTATTATAGGAACCCCTGATGGAAGAATATAGTATTGCTGCGCAAGTGTGGAAACTTAGTTCGTGTGACATGTGCGAGTTAGCACGCAATTCCGTTCTCATGAGTGGCTTTCCGCATAAAGTGAGCAATTATATCTGTTCTCCCTGTCTTTCGAGTACGCTAAAAAATCGGACTAATGCTTCTTTAAACTTTTGTCTTATTACAGTGATAAATGATAACACATTTCTCAATTCCATACATTTGCTTAAAGTGTGGGCGTGACGAAATTCCATGCGATTTAATTGTTTATTTTGAAATTCCATGTAATTTGACTGTGTTTTATTTTGCAGAGTAAGCAATACTGGTTGGGACCTAATTATACAAAGGAGGGGGTCGCTGGTAACGATATTACTCGAACCAACGTACCAGACATACGAGTGGCCTATCGATATGAAACCTTAGTTGACGAACTGTCCAATATCTTCAAGGTCGTGGAGAAACCTGAGTCACTTCCATTTTAATAACCGATTATTTGGATTTTATCAAACTGATGGAAGTCGATTAAGGTGAAATGATAATATTGACGAATTATGATTATTCATATGATTTATTCTTGTGATTTTGGATTTTTTATGCTAACTACAAAATATTTTTTTAAACATTACGAGAATTCGTAAGGAAATTACTTCCTTTTCTTTTTTATGTATATATATATATATACATATATAATTATTGAGAGGATATTCTCCTCTTCATACATCAAAAATATAAGTCAAGGCTGAAACTTGAATAACATCAATCGAATTATAAGTTAAATGAAGTACAATACCAAATTATCTAAAATATGTGTATCACAGATTTTCCAATGTAAAAATATAGTTAAGCTCGGAATCGCTTGACAAAGGTATGCAAGATAACCTTGATTATGATTATTAGGTAAAGAGCCAAATGCGATTTCGTGAGGCCATTATATTTCTATGTTAAATCATGGAACCAATTTTTAAATTGATTCTATAATTTATTAGAAATCCTTATTTGTTTAAATAAATAATTTATTCCATAATTTATTTACTTAACAAATTATGAACTTTACGTATATATATCATTTATCTTTTATCTTGCACCATTTTTAAAGATTTCAATCGCAAGAGTAAATCAATCAGAAATTATACATATACGTTGACCAATTTAATAGTAGCTGTTAGAAGATATTTCTTCTATTATTGCAACGTTCATAATACACATTAGTGTACGTATTGTAATACAAACTAGGCTAGAAACGAATATTACGTTTATTCACCTTGACGTTAAGCTCGTGATAAAATAAATCCGTTTTTCATATCTCGGCCGTGTACGGCGATAGCGGTATCCCTCTTTCTTGGATTTTAGTTTTATTTTCTTACATTTTTGTACATTTATATTGTAATCGTGTGTGATGTTTGTTTCGACGAGCATTCATATAGCTGGCTCGTATGCGGAGAGTTAACTCGTGCCATTTTATACCCTTCTTTCCACAAATAGATAGTGTAAATAGGAAATTACTTTGATTAGATGTAACTAAGATATTTTACGAGCTTTACTGCGTGCCAAGGTATGATGCAACGATATAAATATATTTCTCGTTATTTTAACTTCGTGACTTTTTTTTACCAATTTTTGCGTCTGCCATTTTCCGAGAAAACTTTCCGGACAACGAGCCTAAGGGATTTATTGTAAATTAAGCGATACATGATCATCTATAACATTTGAACACTGTGCCCTGAATATCGAATTTAAATTAAATTGTTACTAGAAAGATATATATTTATTGTAAAAAAAAATATATATTATAAAACGGAAATATATACTTATATCGTTAAAACAGAAATTACGAAGTTATTGATCAAACTAACAATAGTCCAATTTATACGCGAGCATTAATGACCTGATCCAATAAATACATATATACATATATTTTATTTTAAAAGAGAAAGAACGCATTTCTTTTTTAAGCATTAATTGAATTATGGAAAATATAATTGAGGTAGAAATTATATTTTAGAAATCTCCTATTATTTTACAAAACATATATAAATTTATAAACAATAACACGGGCGAGCATTGATCATTTTCACCATCTATTCAAAACTCAAAAACTATTACCACATCTATTTAAAAAATCTCTTTTACGTATTACTTTGTACATATTGAAATAACGCAACTACTACAAAATGTCTTGAACAATTCGTAGTAGATAGAAAATATGATTATTTACCCTTGCCTTATTCTTAAAATTAATGAACTATTCCACTTTTTTCGCCTTAGACACCTGCTGTAAGCTTTGCATAATCTTTGGTATTACTTCCGTAAAAATAATTGTTCCTATAAAGACTAGCAGCGTACCAATCCAATGATATATAGTAAATGGATTCTTAAAATAGACAATAGAGAACAACAACGACAGGAACTTTCGCAGCGTTATTACAAGAGTAACTGTGAGAGAGCTGCATTCCGTGGTTAATACGAATACAGAGCTGATGCACATGTATCTGAAAGTACAATTAAGGCGAATACTTTGGATATGTGATAGTAGACGTCAGATGTGTTGAAATTGCGTGTAATGCATAATATACTTGTATTTAAAAAAAAAGGATACTGCGTTAGAACGTTTCCAATTAAATATATGATTAACGCTGGCATATATATGCCAATCACAGGCAACCTTAATGGCTCAGATGCGAGTGCAAAGTTCCAGTGATCATAAATATTAGGCGTTAGCGTTAAGAAGAATGGTAAGGGCAACAAATGCTGTAAAAAAGAATGTCTTATATCATCAATCAACATAACGTCGATATTTAACGAAGGAAGAAAGTACTTACTGTATAGTACAAAGCCTCCCGCGCATTTTTACCATACCGGCTGTGCAGTACCTCCTGATAAATACCCATTCTAGCAGAAACGAATAAAGCAATCGTGAGTAGAGATATGCCTAAAATCCACCAGAAAAAGTCGTCCCATGGTGTCGTAGCTACTTGCACCACATTTTTCTGCTGCAAGGATTTGATTTCCTTGCCACTAACAATTGTGCAGAGCGCTATTCCCGTGGTGATCATAAATACTGATAAATACTTACTAAATATATACTTCTTATTTAAAATAACAATCCCCATAATCATGTTAGCTATTAGAGAACCCTGAAATAATACAACATATACTTTTAGTACAGACTGCTACTTGTATCTCTTAGACATGTATGTCTACAATACATTTTTATGATATCTTTAAAATATGTTTTAGATATGTTATCTGAATTGCTAATTAAAATTCACATAGTACAATTTCTTCAAGAGACATCTTGAAAATGTCCTTAGGATATTTAAAAGAGAGGTTTTTAAGGTTGATATTCATAGTCTGTTCTTGTTTTAAGATTACCTTAAGTAACGTCTTAAATGTGATTAGCTTATGACATCTTAAAACTGTATTTAAAACAGTTTTAAATATAAAAATTGATTAAGAATATCAGCCTACGACCTTTCTTAAAGGTCTGTACAGGAATATGAATCTATTTGCTACTTACAGCTCTAAATATCATGTGTAGCGGCATAGGAATATTAAAGTCAAACGCATAATTATTGCATACATTGGCAATGAAAAACATTGTGACTAGGATAAAGTAATCCTTTATGCCTATGTTTGGTTTGACGGTACCACATTTGGACGTGAACAGAAATCCCTCGATGGATATAAAAAGGAACTGTGAGAACGTGATGAGATTCCCACTGCCAGGATCATCTCTGAAATCAGATCAAAAATAAAGCTCTTGTCATTTCACTCATGATGTAAGAAAATCGTACGTAACAGTGCTATCTCCGACTAAAGTGTAGATAAGTGCTTTTTTTAAGTTGTACAGAAATTACAGTCATTGAATAAAAAAAGCGATAAGGGTCGTAAAAATTTTACTAGATAACATATAGCGTTGTTATGCAATACTTGGCCGGTTAGCTGAATAACCGAGTAAAGTCGAGTCATTGGTGTACTCACTTGACAAGCAGTTCCAGAAACACGACATTAGTGCAGCAACCGAGGAAGACGCAGAACACTGCGATAGTCGCCCGCATCGTGTTCGCTCTCTGGATCTTATTCCTTCCTTCCTCGACTTCCTCCCTCGTTAATCGAGCTCGGGAGTCGCGATCTAACCTACGAAAGCTACGACGCTACGAGTCGTGTCCGTGTGTTGGATTCCCCAACGAACGTCACGCAATCCATCGGCACACCAACCACTGAACCACTGCGGCCTGCGTGGCAGTCGACACGAATTATCAGCGATGTAATGCGATGTATCGCATGGTCGGATTATGCGCGCGATACCACGTGCATATGTATACATATATCAGATGTCATGAACGTCACGATGCCTTGCCTTAAACGTCAAGTGCGTCAATATTTGGGGCGTTGGAGCGTACGTGTTGCAGCCAATGGTTTTTGGCATCTTGCAACAATCGTCGCTTATTTAATATATGTGTTTTCAGCCAGATGATATGCCTTTTTATTGAAAAATGGTCTTTTCCAACTATGTTATTAAATTATGTCAGGAGAAATATATTGGATGGATTTTGGAATTTTTGAGAGATTGAATTAACAAATAGTTACATTTTTTCGGGTTAAAATATACATTGCAAATCTGAGTGTGTAAAAAGTATAACTACAATAATGTAATTAATTTTTCATGTAAAAATACATTGACATATTATATATATACTGCAAAAAGTGCATTAACTCACACATTTATAAGTGTAATATAAGTAATTTTTACAAAGAAAATTATAATTACATACATTATATATTTTAGTCCACTTTTACTCGTTTTAGATCTGCAGTGTAGTCAATTATAGATTATGTTTAAACAGTCATTTATCATAAATAGCGTATTATTAGTAAACACGCACTTCAGTATTTAAACATGTAGATTGATTTTATAGGCACTTAATTGTTTATTCTTATTTGGAATATTGTATACATATCTACATATATGGAGTCAATAAACGTTTTTTTTGACTCTGTTAATAGAAGTATAGCAATATTATAGACATATCATATCTCTACAAAAGAGAGAGAGAAAGAAAGAGAGTTGATGTATCTATATATTAAAATTTAATAAATGCAGATTCGAAGAAAAGTCTCATGTACGGTTATAAAAATCATTACTAATTATGCTAATACTAACGTCTGTTTATTTAGATAGAAATTCTCCTGTTTTTGTGATTGTGATTATGTTATTCAAAATTTCAATTACATTTTTTGGTCATGTAAAAAATGTACAGATAAGAGAAGGATACTTAAAAATATTTTATTTTATTTTAAGTTACAAACATTATTTCCTATTCCTAACAAAAAATATCGACAGAAATATCGCTTAAAATATTGTTAAGTTTATCTTTAGTTATTATTATGGCTTCCTTATCTTTTCTTGTTTATTATTATTTATCAATTGTACAGTCGTAAAAAGATTCTAGTATTTGTTTATCTTTAGTGTTTGATGATAAAAAAGTTTTGTAATTTTAATTATAACTTAAATAATTATAAAGTTTTGTCTGGAAAGACTCTCTCTCTACATTTATCACTATAATTATTGTCTAAATGTAGATGTTCTCAGCCGGATGCTCTCAACCGTCTTTATTGATTCAAAGAGCGATAGTGTACAAGCGTAGTATTGAATGCCACTTCTGTTTCTAGATGACGATGTACTTCGTCGAGCCAATACAGAATCTCCCTACACCCCGAGGAGGTAATATTTAGTGGATCTTATAATCCCAAGTCAATTGTGGTACGCTGAAAAAAAGTTTGGTAATAGCTATCAAATGTTAAAAATATAGCTATACAAATATTTAATAAATTAATGTTTATAAAAAGATTTAATAAATATTATTCCCCAAATGGTATTACCAATGGTTATACTTACTAAGTATTTGTAAAAGTAAAAAATGTTTAGTTATTAACTATAAATATTTAATTGGCATTATTTCACTAAACATTTGGTAGCTATCATTAAATCTCTTTTTTAGTGTACCGTATTCCTAATTATTGGATTATAGTTGGAAATCCATTTTAGGACACAGAAGAAGAATCTTCGCGTTCACGCGGCGTGATTTTAAGACGAATTCCGTTTGCGTTGACCAACACCAATTCGGATATAAAACGCAATTGGTCCTCTTTATCAAGAGCCTCCACATGAAAAGCTTTTATCAGGGATAAGATGGCCACTTTAATCACTAATGTGGCGAATTTCCAGCCGATGCAATTACGCGAGCCAGCGCTGAACGGGATAAAAGCGTAAGGAGGTAACTTAGGACCATCAGATAAGAATCGTTCTGGACGGTAAACATGCGGCTCGGGGAAGTAACGGTCGTCACGATGTAGCAAATAGGAGTTGACAAGAACTGTCGAGCCAGGTGGAATTTGATTGCCCACTAAAAATAGATAAAAGATGTTTTATATAAATAAGTATTTATATCATGCATTATGCAATTGCTGATTGGACAAAATAGTAATAGTTGTTTGTCATATTTTAAACTTGTTTGTTTCAACAATTATTTGATAAAATGCTCGGCAATTTTGATCATAATATAATATTGAATAATATGAGACTGTCTAAATGATATTTGGAATATTTTGGAAATATATTGAAGATATATATGCTCAGTACTTACTTATTTCAATCGGTTTGTAAATTTGCCTTGCTATAAGCGGGGCCACAGGATATAATCTCCACTGCTCCTTGATGCAAGCATCCAACCATGTTAATTTTTGTATATTCTCCAATGTAATTTCATCTGTACCCAGTACATCGTTGTATTCCTTTAAAATTTTTTCCTAAAAACAAAAAAAGAAAGCGCTGCAGTTAAATTAATGTTACAATTAAATTAATGTTAAAAATATAGAAAGACATTTTCAATGACATCTTCTGTATCTCCTTAATTCATTTCATAATTTACGAAATACATTTAATGCGGACGAAATGTAAAAATATAATTTTTTAAAGATTTTTAAAAATTATTTAGAATAATTTTTAAAAACTCCCCTCTTACAATTTTAATAAAAGTACTCATTCTTCGCTCAAAATAAAAGAATCCGTTAGAAAAACGCGGCGATTGGCCTCGTGAATCAATTTATTAAAAAAGCGTTAAAGTTCGTGAGACTTTAGGATGCTTGTCATCCCGGTTCGATACAGTGCTATGTATAAGTTCTGCTTTAATTACACAATTTCATCGCTTTGAATTACGTAAATTCACTGCTAATGCAGAGAATATGTTCGAAGCACTGAATTTGGTTTTTAAAGCACATTTATGTCTGTAAAGCAGTAAATTTATGTCTGTAAAATAGAGAATTTATGTAATTAGCACGTATATACCGCTGTATCGAGTCAGGATGACAGATATCTTTACTTCTAAAGCCTCGAATTTTAAAGGCCTTGGTATATAAAAAAGACTTAAGTAGTAAAGTGAGAGCAAGTTGACCAATCACAGTAGAGTCCGTAAGGCTACAACAGTAGTAAGCAATAGCCAATTCAACATGTTGATTTGTTATCGAATAGGTATGAAGATTTTAGAAGGAGGGGCGGGTATTTTAAATCATTACCAAAATTATATCAGAGATGTGACGAGATAATGCTCTATCGTCGTTTACAGGGAATGGAAGTAACTCGTTACTTGTAACGAAGTTACAGTTACAAGTTACTTTTTTGGTAACTTTACTGGTAACTGCGTTACTTTCTTTTTTTGGTAACTGTAACGGTAACGAGTTACATTTTTTGGGTAACGGTAACGAAATTTACAGTTACTTTTGTCGTTACTTTGCACACGATTGAACACGGTTCGATTGGATACATGCTATTTATAGTGCTTATCAATAAGACTTGAAAGCCCTTAGACATTCGGCCGTCATGATTCAGTAATTATTTTACACATCTATCTTCTATGTAACACATAGGACATACAAATATTTCAGTTTGCTGCATATTTTATAGGTTTTAGAATTACAAAATTGTGTTTAAAAAAAATTAAAAAATAAATTAAATAATAGTAAAATGAGAAGGGTTACGAGCCCAAAAGCGAAACAGTTTAAAAGACGATGACAATAAGTGTCGAAACGTCGTTTGTTTTTATCTTGTTTTATCCATGTTATTGTTCTAATATATATTTATACATTTAATTACATTGTCATCGTCGTTCTTATCGGAAATAAACTGTTTCATTTTTGGCTCGTAACCCTTTTCATTTTACTATTATTTAATTTATTATTTGAGCCATTCTACATTGTTCTTTTTTTCTTAAATAAAATTATATATTTGTCAGTATTACATATAAAAAATAAAATGCAAAAGTACATTTTTAAATTAATTTTAAAAAAAGTAACGAATAGTTATTTTTCAAGTAACGGTAACTGTAACGAGTTACTTTTAAAAAGCGATAACTGTAACTGTAACTAGTTACTTTTAAAAAGTAACTTTCCATTCCCTGATCGTTTATCAGAATGAAACATAGCAGTGATAACCGAGCATGGTATAGTAGACAGCGTATTGGTCTGCTATACTGACAATCCCGCGGGTTCGATTCCCGGCGAAAAACTTTCATATGCTTGTGTTCCTCTCGGAGATAACGACAAGCCGCCGAGAGTATTACTTGCCACCTCCCTACCATTGCCGTTCGAATTCGGCGCTTAAACTGTAGGTCCTCATATATCTGTGCGATCATATATGCGCGCGTATATACTGATTGTGAGAGGGAGGTTCAACACTGTATGGAGAGAAGAACGAACTTCACGATGATACAATCTGGAAGAATTGTTAATACCTGGTATTTGGGGTGTCGTCCTAGCGCATACAATGCCCACGATATACTGGTGGACAGTGTATCATGTCCAGCATACATAAAAGTATTCACTTCTTCACAAATATCTTCATCCGACAGAACAGTGCCGTTATGTGACATTTCCAATAATAAATCCAGGAGAGCACGTCTCTTCTTCGTTGAATCGTTGAAGTTGTCATCGCATTGGAGTTTCCATTCGGCCTTTCTTTTTGCAATTACCTAGAAGAAAGTTATGATTTTTCTGTTGTAAATAATATACATATACAAGTGTATAATTATGGAAAGATATTGCACTGAAGAAAAGAGATAGCTCTCTTTTTTTTCATTCACGAACATGTGAGTCTAAATTTGAAACTAAAAAGTAAATTGATCTAAATTGCAATTTTAGTGATTGATTTTGTATATAAAGTAGATAATAATGAGATTGCGTTAATCTCTGTTTATTATTTTGGTAATAGTGTTATTAGAGATCTCAATAAGCTAGAGTAGCTGTAGATAGCTCAAAAGTTTTAACTGTTTGCGTTTAGATTAATCATTACCTTGTTGACAAACTTTTGTATAATTCGAATGGACTCGTCGTGCTCATGTCCTGTTTTAGTTAACTTAAAAATTGAATCGAATGTTAACCATACATTTGTGAAGCGCATCTGGACAATAGACGCAATCCTGAAAATTAGAAATCAATATTTTTTAAAAATAGAATTTGATATATGTATGTTGTAGAATATTGTATAAAAAAATTACGGAGGCATTGAAAAATCATGAACTTACTTGTTTACAGCATTGACATAGCAGACTTCGCAGTTCCTTTGCGAGTTGAGCTTATAACCCATCGCAGTATCTGCAATAAAATTGCATTGGTAAAATTAAATTAACTGTTAAAATAATCAATATTCAACCCTAAAGACCGCTAATGTGAGAACACAACCGATACAAATACAAAGTCTATAACAGTTTAGCTTGGATCTTTTTATCGCTTACATGTAAACTATCGCGGTACTATCACAAATTAAATTAAATTAATAATTAACCAATATACGTAGTTCCCCCAAATTGCGCGTCAATCTTGAAACGCAACTCTAATAATCTGAAAATACTAAATCTGGAAAATTATTCTTATTGCGGAAAATATTACCTCGGCCGGGAGTCGAACCCGGATACCTTTTGCTTTACGCGCAAGTGTCCTAGCCAATTAGACTACCGAGGCTTTAGTAATATTCCTCGCAATAACTGGTATATGTGTGAAATGATAAACGCTTTCTTTCAGACGCGTAAATAAACAATATTCAATATCAAAGACCGCTAATGTGTTAAAATAATAATTATTATTAATTAATCATTATTGTTATTAATTAATCAACACGTCCAACCGGCTTCATTCTCATAATCCTTTCATATTTATACTAATTTTAATTATTAATTAAATTATTACAATTAAGTTTAGATAAAAAAAATTTTGCGATCTAAGGAATATTTTAATATGCAATATATAGTATACAATTTATTTAATCAACATACACAGGGTATGGATAAATAATTAGGCTGTAACGCAAAAATGGCAGTATATAAATATCTATATACTCGTATTATAATTCATTTGCTGCTAAAGGGTGCGTTCGCTATTAAGGGGATACCCTATTGCTCCTATTCATTCCGACATTCCGAGTGAGTTGCGGCGCAAGCAAATGTTGAGAACCTCTGCTACATGATCTTCTAGAATGTTTTCTCAGATAACGTAAAACCAATTGCTTCTAAATTTTAAGGACATTTTACTATACACATTTCAACTTTAGAAAATAATTTTTTTGTTAAATAATATTGATTTTTTGTTATAAAAATGAGGATATGATTATTAAGTGCGTTCCGTTGTAGTTCCATTGTGTACATGCTAACGATCGTAATTTTTATCTGAAACAAAAAACCAAATTTATGTGCTTTATTTTTATATTATCTTCTATTTGAACCAAAAAAATTAAAGAAAAGCAAAAATTGGAAAATCTGTACGACTTTAAAAAGAAATTTTCGATTTTCATCAAAAATTTCAATGGTTCCTTGCAAAAAAATTGGTGTAATTTAACAATTTTTCAAAAACATTTTGGTTCAAATAGAAAAGGCATTATTTATCTACAAAAAAAAAAACAAGTCCAACAACAATTCAATCAGTTGATTAGATTTTTTTCTATCGTGTACATAATCGAAAAATATCATTTCTTCATATCTTCTACAGAATTTACATTTCGCCGAATAGCCAGTCCATAATATTTTGTTAACTTTTGGGTAAGTATATTGGTTAATTTTCCTTTTCCGCTAAGTCTTTTTCATTTTTTATATTTCGGAGTCGTGAGCCCATTTTGTTTTCTACGTGTCTAATGCACTCGCTTTTTATTACCGGGCAATCGTCACCATATGGATTCAAATCTAAAATGGCCTTGTATGTTTTAGAGTCACCGTCTCCAATGTAATTACTGTATTTTATTCCGAATTTTTCCTCTGATCTTGAAAACATTTCTTTGATGGCATCAACCTCCATTTTACTTATGGATTCTGAGCGATTCGCAAACCATTTTTCTTGATGTTGATACTCAGTGTACTCATCAGTAATCAGTCTTCTTTTTTCAAAATATACAGGCATGGCAGTATTCACTTTTAACGATAAGATCAACTATTTTCCCGGTGTAATAACCGATGAGCGACGTTATACCATCGCCAAATACTTTAAATTTTGTTTCAGATTTTCCATTTTTTACATTTTCTTTTACACTTTCTCTTCTTCTACGGCTTTTTTTTACACTATTAAATATCGAACTCTAAGCAGTAAGTATGTATATGTCGTGTAATAGAATAATATATATGTATTTATGTTTAATTGGAATAGAGATTAATTTAAATAGAAATAAATAGATAATTTAAGTAAGAAGAAGCTCAAAACGACTTCAATCTATCAGAAATTGGATACATCGAAATATATCATATAGTTTCTGATACCTCTTTCTAGAGACCGAAATCGTAATTTCTATCACTATTGTTATTTCCTTGCATTGTCTGAAGTTTAAAACTTCGGGGCACTAGGGGTGCATATTGTGAACTCGTTTGTCCTGGTAGGGATATATAAATTTTAATAAAATATTTAACAATTTTGTGATTATCAGCATAAAAAGTGTAATTTTAAATGAAGAGAAAGATTTTATGTGAATTTTTAAAAGAATTAATATTATTTATATATAATATATGTAAAATATATATATATGTGCTATATATATAATATATATATTATATATGTATATTATATATGTATATATATATATATATATATACTTTTAATTTACAGTAATGTATGATTTGGTAGTTGTTTTGTTTTTCATTTATAATATACATACACGTAATCTGTATATAAAGTATGTGCATGTGATACTAATATATTATGGCGAATTCGATTGGGATGCACCAGTGCAGGGTGATTGCACCAGTTCATCTTTTTTCCTTTTCCCTTCTCCTGAAGAGAAAAGGAAAACAAATGAACTCAGGTGCACTCAGTGCGCACTAGTGCGCACTAGTGCGCACTAGTGCATCCAATCGAATTCGCCATTAGATATCACTAATTTTTTTTATTATGTTTTACATGTCCAACAAAAATTTTTGTTATTAAGGGACGTATTTTTTTTGCCTTGGGCATCGAAATGTCTAGTCCCAGCTGTGAAATAATTACACAAGGACAAGTTTTAAAAAGTATCATGACATCAATGCTTTAATGATACTAAAATTAATCATTTGCGATAACGTTCAAAGCAATAATCACAAAACAATATATCACATGAACATTAATGACGGTTAGCTGTGTGTCATTATGATAATTGGCGTTATTATGATCAGCGTAATATAGATAACACATATATAAAATGCATATTCCACGATACCTATATTTTAACAACGCTCTATTGATCAACAATCTGTCGATACCATGATGAAAGAAATCACCATGATCGATACATTTGCGATTAGTAGACGATCGACGAGCAATAATTAATCGATCACTCATCTCTTCCCACTTCACACCTTTTCCTATTATTAATTCAAAATTCTAAGTATGTATCAGTCAAATTAATAAAAAGAAGAGAGAATTAAAAAAATTATAAAACTAAAGTGTATACAATTACAAATATTTATTTTCACGAATAGATATCATTTTACAAATATAAACAAATGGACGATTTTAGTGAACTTCGTCACAGCTCGGGTGACTTTGCAAAAACGACAAAATTTAATCTGCCCGATAAAGATTCGTTAATAAAAACAGTACAAATTAACAAGAGTACTCTTTCGCGTAACGAAGACGTAAGGTCGTGCGTTAACGATGGCGAAAATCCATCATTTTTCAAAACTTCTGTTTCAAAACCCACGCAGAAGAAGGTTATTTCTATATCGTCGATTTTACGATTATCTACTCCGCGAAGTTACAAGTCTAGCAGCGATTCACCAGATTTGACTAAAGTATATATGAGACTCAATTGAATCCTGTTTTTAAAAAATGCATTAAGGATATATTATGAATATATTGTATTTTTTTAATAAAAAATGTACTTATATATTTTGAGTATATATTCTATATGTATATTAAATATACTCATCTCTTTTATAAAAATTTATTATATTTAATAAATATATTTAATATGATCGTGCAATTTAATATAATTAATAAATGTAATTAATATAAAAGATAATTGGTTTGCCACGATATAGTTCATAGGAACTTTTAATATATCCCTTAGGAAAATCTAATATTGACCAAACTGAAAGACAGTAATTAAATACTTATTTTAAGTATTAGAAGCATTATTGTTCAGTACTTTTAATTTTCCAAATAAATGATTAATTACTGTCTTCCAATAATAAATTGATTAGTATTAAATTGGTCAAAATTAGATTTTTATAAGGAATATTATAAAATTTAATTGACTAATAATGTAATTGTTAAATATATATTATAAAATGATTAAATTTATTTAGGTAAAAATATCCGCGTTGTTATATGAAATAACAGAGCGGATGAAACAATTAGCTCAGCCTCGATCTCGCATAACAAAGGCTGAGCTTCCTGAAAAGGTTTTGAAAAGTAAAGCACCATCGATGTCTCGTATAATCGAGCTTGCATGTCCAAAAGTGATTCATGATTCAGCACCAAAACCTATTAATTCCGTCTCACCGAGCGCGCTTAAGGCAATCGGTTAGTGTGATTAAAAACATTTAGACTATCAGTATTATAATTTCTACTTAAATTTAATAAATCCTTGTAGCAAAAATAATTTGTTAAAAAAATTCTGGAAAAAATTTATAAAATTAAAAAATTAGGTTGGAAAATAAATACGTTTCGTGCAAAATACGAACGATTGTTACAATTAAAGTACATTAATCTCAATAACAAATTAAAAAGCATTATCATGTGTAAAATTTATTACAAATTATTAATTACAGCTACGCAGCGAATAATTGAATTATCGCAACCGCGAAAGGATCGGTGTTTCATGTTATCGAGACGTAAGACACAGATACATCGATTATGCAATCTTAGAATCCGTGGTTTGTCGAAATTGAAGCAAATGGATCATTCTGATATCAAGGCGAAATTACTTAATTCACCGGAGGAAAATAAATTGGATATGACGAAGTTATTGCACGAATCTTTACGGTAATAACACGGAAAAAATAGTTTCGCTGACGTGTCTATAAAAATTTAGTTATATATAGAAAGAAAAAATATAGAAGATTCTCAGATCTGTATTAGCTCAATTTTTAGAATACTTCAGCAAAATCGTTTTTTTTTGTGAATGTTTTGCTGGTAACATAATATTGATAACGTATAATGTTTGTTTCTCTTATTATAACACAAATTACGAAGTGTTATTGTGATATTAATAGCGCGAAAGAAACGCAAAAGACGTGTTTGCGACTGCAGTCGTCTTACAAGTGCATGAATAAATCGCAAAGTATTCAAGTATTTTAATCGGAGCAGCTGAAGGCCATTGTGGCAATCATTTAGCGCATCGTTTGTATCAAACCCCTCACTTCGCAGTAATATTTATATCACTTTTTTCTCGGTGTCATTATTTTTTAAATGTCATTCACGCGATAAAAATGCGTCGGATGAATTTGTGCTGATAAGAAAAAATCTCGTTCTTATAAATTGTTTGAAGGAGGATCAATATGTCTTCTCAAGATTTCGCAGGAATCTCCTGTAACTTTCAAAAATTTAATTATTGAATTACTATGTTAATAACAAGCTAATGCTGCAACTTGTTTTAGCTTGACTTTCAATGCCGATCGTGATGCGAGACAAAAACGGAAAAAATTCAAACGGAAAGATAAACCAATAAGTGTGCCGGAAGAAATGAGAAAACGGCAGTCATCACTATATCTTAGCAATACGAACTCGGACAGAAGCGTCGTTGTTGTCGGGACTGCAGATTGGGAGAAGAGACCTCGATTTAACATCGTTCACAAATCACGTAAATCCCGATATTGTAAGTCTTCAAAGATAACTAAAGAAGCTCGTTAACTATTTGATTGAATTTTTAGAATTTCAAGGTAAACTTAAAATATCCTTACATGTATTTTCAATAGAATTTTTTTGTGCTTTCCTTCAATGTTATATTGAAAAATGAATACGCATACAGTTTCTTTTAAAACACACAGTTACGCTACAATCGAATATTTTAATAAAGTTCTGATGATGCTAAAAATGTCATGACTTATTAAAAAATAATTTTTTATTCATAATAAATCGGTTAATGTTTTCATATAATTAAGACAGTTCCGAAATTGTTTGAATTACTATGCTGGAATGATGTTCCATGATAACTATTGTTAAAGTTCATTTTTACTGTTAAATTAAAGGTTCACGATAACCATTATTATTGTTAAATTACGTTTGACAAAGCCATCTCTTTGGTAAGGAATATTATAAAGGAAAAATATCTTTCATGAAGTCGTTACATTTTTATAAACTTGATGCGAAATGAATTGAACTCACCACATATAATATCAAGAGCGGCACGCTTTGCAAAAGGAACAATGTCGAACCATTTGTCCACTTCATTCCTGAGGCAAGAAATTAGGACGTTTGTTTCTTCTTTCGCGGTTTTCAAGTATGTTTCCAGGAGGCCGCTGTGGAAGGTCGGTGTCAACAGCTTCCTGCGAAAGTGCCATTTCTCACCTGAAAGAAAGATCATAATTTTTATTACGACTACAAATATATTTACTATACCCGCGTAATATTGAAAGTGAAAAATTCTCATAGCGTTTTTAGGGTCATTGTAAGACAAATATAAACTCCCAATTTTATATATTTTTCTTATATAGAAAACGTAATGGAGTTACCAACACGGATGTCAAAATAGCTGCTCATATGAGCTTTCTTATTATAAGAAAAATCCGCGTAACTAAAAATTATGATTCTTTTCTTTGAATAACAATATAAAATCTTGAATTACTCGCAAACCGGAAAATTTGCAAGAATTAAAAAATTGCGTTGGCATGTAGTTCAAACTATATTTTGTACTGATATCCAAAACTGAAAATAAGAAATTGACAGTTTGGTGTTATAAAGCACAAAAGTTAAGATAAAAACGTTATTTATATTAAATCAACGATTTTTTGTTAACAGTTAATATTATAATGCCGGTATTACATTAGCAATTGGAAATTGCGTTTGCGTTCGCTTTTGCGATTGTCTTTCAATCAGTCAGAAAAGAGATGCTGGCGATTCATGATTCCCGTTTAGACATCTGTCTATTTTTCATAATTGTAGACGCAAAAGCCATCAATCACAAGACGGTTTTGTAGTCATGTGACTAGTCATGTATTAAAACAAAAATTGAAAACATATAATCTCTTGGAAAAACGTGAAATCTCTATCTGTGAATCATGCCACCAAAAATGCTGATATATTTTCAAAAAATATTGAATTTTTATTAATTAATTTTATAATTTTTATTCTTTTTCACATATACGTTGTAGACAATGTCTGACAAAACGTAATCGTTAATCAATGCTAATGTGATTGAAAAACGTCTAATCGCAAATACAAACGTAAACGCAGACGCAATCTCCAATCGCTAATGTAATACCGGCATAATGAATACGAATAATGTGATAAACCGGGATTTGAAGAACGTATGTTTCGAAATTTTACTTTATCGCATTCACGATATGTTAAAACGCTTTTGCAAAATAAAAATAAAACATGCATTTAAGGAGACTGAACGTTTTAACATTGACAAGATAATACTGACTAATGAGATTAATGTCATACTGTCGCTAATCAAACATAATACTTCTGTTTTGTGCGGAAATTTGAAATGCTGTACAATTATTTTATTGCTCGAAGTCCAAAGTCTTTTGCGTATAATTTCTATTATATACTCGCGTAATCCACGACAACGTTTTGCGTGTAAATCCAAGGTGAGTTTAATAACGATCGGTAATATTTCTTTTAATATCTTTCTGCAAAATTGTGTAACAATACCAAACAGTCTGAGAATGTTAGATTAATTTGAGAATCATCTCCTTCATAATTATTTTATTGTCGAGACAATATCATTAATCGGGTGCCACAAAGGTTGGATCATAATAACACAAAAGATTTTAAATATCTTTCTTGTTACTGGATTTACGTTATATAATAATAAATAAATAAAATGATTTATGTATACTTAATGATTTGTTTTATCAGGTTATCTATATTAAAAGTACTATTCCATAAAAACTATTAGTCTTTTTAAATCAACTGTATAATATTTTAGCATCTTTACGACGCCGCGCCGAGTTAAATCAAATTTAATTGTGCAATAAGTAATTGATTCTTAGCGCTGTAAGACTGCGAACGAGACCAGTGTCGGCTTAGCGCTGTTGTTTGGCGCCACAACAATCGTGTCTCGCTCTGGCGAGTTTTCCAACAAGAGAGATATAAATGACACAGTTCTTTGAAGAGACCCTCTAATAAGAATCGCAACACAAGCTGATTGGAGTTGACTTTTGTAAATAATCGTAAAAAGTGCTAAAAGGCAAAACACGCATGCGCATTAAATAAAAGAACTTCACGTGCCTTTTATTTCTTTTTCATTATTTACTGATTCTTAGTAAGGGAAGATAAGAATAACGTTTGTCCATTTTTACAATTGTTTAAAGTAGTCTTGTCATTTAATTTTATCTAAATTGTCTTTATTAATAAATGGCACATAATAAAAATTAACGTGTCATTTTTCGCTTCTGATGTTACGATTTAATATAAGTGTGGTGACTATTTAGGTGCCTTAAGCAAATTTATAAAAAAGCAAAAAAGAAAATCAATTAGTTTTCAATGAAGATTAAGAAAAGAAGCTAGTCTAATATTTAATAACATATACAAGTATTTACTATCATCTGAAGTACGAAAACTGCGCAATATTATTGGATTTTGAAGTTTCCGTATCATAGTACAGAAATTGAAAGGTGTTTTGATTAGCTGACATATTTTTTAAAAAGAAATCCTATTTGTTCATTTATAGTAAAAAAAATAATAATATGTTAAACCAGAGAAAGACGTTTATTACAACTGTTAATTATTTAATATAAACAATTAAAAACAATTTTAATGATTTTTTGCTTTTATTTCACGCTATTTAAATCATATTAACATACCATATGTTAACAACTTGCCTCAATGTTGTTACTTCTAATTTCAAGTCGGGACAAAAAGTAACAACGCGCCTTTATTAATTCAAATGGTCTAACACTTTTATATATATATATATATATATATAGAAATTGAATTAACGGCGTTCAGTTATAAAACTAATATTCAATCTCCTTTTTATTTGTGTATACGAGTTAAAAATTTATAAGCAAATACAGACTATATTTATCTTGAAACTAAAAGAATATTACTTTCAACTTTAACCTCTCTAATATATTCAGAAATTATTATAATTTTTAATATCGATAATTAAAAAGAATCTTTTGCATATATAATCCTTCCAGCAATTTAATCGCTTATCTTTTTTAATAAAACAAAAAATTGTTTTATGTAAGATGTTATGTTGAGAAAATGCAATGTTTAAAATATTTTAAAATCAATTTATAATTTTTACGATTAATTATATATACGCCAGAGACAGGTCGATCGATATATATTATCTTTATTGAGCAATCAATTATAAATCATTTATTGGTTTTACTTGCAGAGCAAACTTTTCATACAATATGTAACAGATCAGGTCATTTACGTAATAAAAATGACCAATTATTTTTAACATCATTTTTTAAACTTTATTTCTTTCTTTTGCAAAAAAATTCATAACATCTATGCATATATAGCGAAACGACCGTATATTCTTCGGCAAATAATGGAACACAGAAGTTCACTGAATTTAAATAAGAAAAATATTCTAAGAACATACACATTGTAGCGACGAGTTGAGAAGATCAAAGATTAGAACCCGCATACAATACTTTTTAGGTATTCAAATATTTTCAGAGAACACTAGATAGTGACGTTGAAAGAGCTTGTTTGATCCTATAATATGGTAATGTATAAGTTCGACTTTTAAACAGATTTTGAGCTACGTGTTTATCTTTTTTTTACCTTTAAAGTTTACATAAACCGGACAGAAATGTTACGATGTTGCTTCTAGATAATAAATTTATACTATTATCAGTTTCCAGTGGCACAGTTTCCTAGTGTTGCACGAGCGTTCATTGAATGTACATTGCGCACGTGTCAATGATTTCTAAAAGAAATTGTATTTCCAATTTTTTTTATTTAAAGGTAAAATAAATAAAATATACAGATTCACAATATTGTTGAGGCTTTAAATTTTCAAGTATCAATTTAAGTTCTGATTTTAAATCTGAATTTTAATTATAAGTTTAAACTGTTTAATAAAATAATATTTTAGAATTTCATATTTTTTTATTTAAATTCTAAATTAAAAACATTCTTTCAGGATAAAAAGAATGAGAATTTTTTTTCTCCAATGTCTTCCCGCTTAATTATTTCAGAAGCAGCTGGCGTTTAAGCGCTAGTTATTATCGATAATCATCTTGAAATAGCATACTGAATCTTCTGGATCATTTATCATGCGAATCTTTGCAATTTTCCAGTGGTTAAAAAAGTATAAAATAAAACGATTTCAGTATAATGGTAAAAAATGGTTTAGAAATTAATTCAGGATTTAATGACTGATGAATGAATTAAATTTTGCCCATTTTGTACTTGTGCATAAAATTTTAATATCTGAATAATCATTATTATCATTAATTCAATAAAACATAAATTTATGAAATCTGAGTTACCTTTAAGAATTAAGAAATTTTTATTTAAATATTTCAGATAGTAGTATAATATTTCTTCGTATTTTGTGTATTTAGAGGATTTATTCTCAATTCAATGAAATTAAAAAATTTAAACATTATTAAGTATTAATAAATTTGTATCTAATAACGCAAATACTGTATATATCCAATTATTAATATAAATATATAATAAAAATAATATATATGTAATAATTTATACGGAAAAAATATATATAACAATTTTTCCTTATATAAATTTCAAAAGTATTATTTTATGTAATTTAATATTTATTTCGTTTTTTATGATAGGTATTTATTCTTGCGTCTATTTGCTTATAATATTTCATTTATGCACATTTTTATATATGAATTAGAATAGAAATTGTAATACGTTGCGTCCACTCGCGAACGAATCATGATTTATTTAATCACTCTGTAATATTTATCACAACACACACGTGTCAGTGCTACTCGTGACATCGTATGCGTATTGCAAAAACGTTACAACGTAATTCGAAGCTACGATAAAATACGAAGTCTTTTTCAGATACTTTGTCCAATCCCTTGTTTTTCGATACATGGCAATAATTAATCTTTGTTGCATCGTAATTCCTGATGAAAATAAAAACGGGAATATGAAAAGCGAGTGTAAGTTTTGTTTTCTAAAAGTTTCATTTACTTCTGTTACTCTCCTCAGACATTTGACTTATGTTCCAATTTTTATTTTTGTCAGAAATGCAGCTTTAATTTTTGTAAAACGTGAATCACTTACCATTGCTGGTTACCAGGCCTGTACCTAACCAAGGCTTCAAGTATTGATACTCTAGACTTTTATCGATATGTATGCTGCTGCTAAGTAGAGGTTGTACAGCCTCTACTTTATAAAGGAAGATAAAAGGCCGTAGACCGACCCAGACTAGATAAATATCACCAAATTTGTATGCCCATTTTATCAACTTCTGGAAGAATTCTGAAATAAACAAATTCAATAAATTTTATACATAAAATCATTCTAATACACAGTGGATGCACATTTAGGTCCGCTTCGACTCGGCTCAGTGCGACAATGAGATACGCCCGTCCGTACGACGAACACAGTGTGCTCGGACTAAATGTGCATCACTACTAATACATTCTAAGCAGTTCTGAATAATTACTAAAACAGAAGTCGAAAAATTTAGCCGGAAATTCAAATAAGTAAGATTTTTTACCATATTTTCTCCATTTATATTTAATAAATGCTATAAAAAATATAATTAACAATTATGTTGGTTAATAATAATTAAGTTATGAAATAAAATGTTGGTATTTTGATGATTTATATATGAAAACAACAGTTTTATTGATAATATTTAGCTAGATACAAATCCAAAAATAATGAATCTGTTGAATCATCAAAATAATTATTTAAAACGCTCAACTTAGTTGCTACAATGTCACACTTTTTGCAGCATTGTTCATCATGCTTGAGAGTTTCCTACGTAATTACTTTCATATTTGTATCTACATATCTACATTTATAGATACTTTAACAAAATCGTTCTGTCTGTACAGCCTCACACATACGATGAGGAATTTTATTTAAAAATAGTTTAAAGATCAAGTGGTTAAAAAATCAAAGGAATAAAAATAGAGCATATACCACATGCCGGATAACAATAGCGAAATTATCATGTTTTTACAAAATAAATCTACATAGACGTTTCGGTCATTAATGTGACCATCTTTAGTATAAAACAATAACCCTTAATAATATGTATACTAATAATATATCAACTTCTGAATTGTATTTATGCGAACTAATGACATAATTATATTTTAACGAAATTATATTATTTGATAACTTGCGAAAGATGTTTTCCGTAGTACATATTATTAAGGATTATTGTTTTATACTAAAGATGGTCACATTAATGACCGAAACGTCTATGTAGATTTATTTTGTAAAAACATGATAATTTCGCTATTGTTATCCGGCGTGTGGTATATGCTCTATTTTTATTCCTTTTAAATTTTATTTAATAACTTAATTTAAAATATTTGTATATATCTCCATAGAGCTATAAATGAAATATTATTCCTTTTTATACTATACACTGAAAAAAGAGTTTGGTTGGATTATTTGGAAGTTCTGGTAGGTTCAACCAGCATGATGTCTGTTCAAAAATGGACGAATCAGAATTTTTGTATAATAATTACCGGATGAATTTGATTAATTCTTTCTAGTTAAATTTACCAGAATTTCTTGTTGATCAAATTAATTTTTCTCGTCAATTGTATCAGAACTAATATGTTAACTGTACTTATTACTCATCTTTAAAAACTTCTACTCATCTTTAAAAACATATTTTTCGAAGTTCCATTGGCGGAGAAGAACACATGTCTTTTCATCAGCTATAACGACGACACGCGACATGACACGCGATCTACGATCACGCGATACAAAAATATAAAATACGTGCTTGCACTGCTCGCTCAGCACGATTCGCGCCGACTTGCGCCAACTTATATAATAATAAAATTGCTAGGATACACTAACATTAACCAGCATTGTGGTAATGTTGTGTGTGCTAGTCAATATAACTAGAAGTTTTGTAGATCCAACTAGAAAATATTAAACAAATTTTTATAACATAATCTACCAAACGATTTAGTTATATAAAATCTCGGGTCTTATAACAAAAAATTCTGCTAGATTTAATCAAAATGCATTTAATCAAATACATCTTGTTGATACAAACAAATCATTTTTCTCAGTGTATTGTTTTTATTGACTTCGCTATAAAGTTAACCTCGGAAATAACAGTAGTCAGTAATTATAATTTCAAGACTTGAGCGATTTAATTTTTTACGAAATTATGTCAAACTAACGAGAATAATTTGTTATAATACTCCCCCCAAAATTTGTTTGTAATGTTCGGACAGATTTATGTTAGTATCGCAAATCGCAACAGAGTCTTTATAATTGCGCTTTGTAAAGATCATAAAAAGATGACTCTTCATATCCAGTAATATTCTCATACAACTTTAGAATTGATTCATTGAAATTTTCTTTATACTGATTATATGTTGCGTAAATATTAGATACAATATTAATTAATAATTATTACTCTAAATTAACAAAATGTAATATATTTGTATATTTATATTTGTGTATGTACATGTGTGTGTGTGTGTGTGTGTGTGTGTGTGTGTGTGTGTGTGTGTGTGTGTGTGTGTGTGTGTGTGTGTGTGTGTGTGTGTGTGTGTGTGTGTGTGTGTGTGAAATTTGCGTTTTTATCATTTTTATAACATCATAAGCGGCTAAGTACTTCTAATTTATTTATTGTATTTCAATTATTTCTATGTATATACACAGTTAAAGTTATTTTAATGTTTTAACCGCTTTATTTTATTTTATTTACTATCTGACTCTTATTGTCCTTTCTTTGTTAGATTATTATTTTATATAAAGAGTTCTTTATTTTTCATTTTATTTATATTATTTTGTATTTTATTATTCTTTGACTCTTATATGCCCTATATTTATATATTTTTGGTATTAAAAATAAAAAATACGAAAAATATTGTAAAAGATAAGAAAATTAAAATGATTAAAAAAGACTTTATTTTCTTGCAAAAAAATTGTCTTTTTTGGTGGGTATATATTAATATATAATATTTTTTCGAGAATTGTCGAGAAGATACACTCGTGGAGAGAATTTCGTATAGATATTTTGATATTCTTTTTCGTAAGGATATAAAGCATTTAATATTTATCGAATGCACATGTCGCTTGTTATTGCATTTATGACGTTTTTCATGAAGATCATCTTCAATCATTCTCGCGGTCACCGACCTGCGACGTTGTGCAGAAATAGACCTTCTACAGTTTCATGTCTGACCAATCATCGCGTTGTTGTCGTAATTCTAGATCTGTTCTTATTGATATAAATCGCGACCTTCGCGAGAATAAGAAGTATTAAGTGAAGATATTATAAAAAAAACGATAAAAAGAAAGTAATTAATGTGAGCATGATGCGACATGAGAAGATGAGAAAAGAAATAAAAAAATGGATAACGGAAGAATAAAGAAGGGAAGAAAAATCAATTTAGAACAATTCTTATCAGAACGAGAAATAAATTTAGAATAAAATATTTGATTAAATAAAGTGCATGTGTTGTATATGTGTATGATTGCACAGAAAAAGTAATACGAAGAAAATGTTGAGATAATACAAGATAGTTGTATACTAACTTCAGCTTGCTATCTGGATAATGACGTATATTAAAAAAAGATTTGAAGTGTGTGTTAGTTACATTTCATTAAATACCAAAAAGTACAACAGACTATATTATTATATAAGATTTTTATTCTTATTGATATAAATTGGTTTACAAGACTGTTACAAGACTGTTTTGTTAGCTGCTTAGGAGAATTAGGAAGAAGCCTGTTTGCCTACTAAACGATTGCCTACACCTTCATTTGCACACAGCGATATTGCATACAGCATATTACACACATGACAATATTGCATACTACACATTGCACACAGGGCAATAGGAAGTTATCCAGATATACGGTGAACGCTAAAGTTTTACGTTATTTAGTGACAAGTCGAACTGCGCACGTACAATTCAACTTTTCATTAAATAACGTTAATTTTAGCATTCATCGTATATCTGGATACATGGCAAAAGCTCCTTATGCTGTGAGCAATATTGTCGGGTGTGCAATACGCTGTGTGCAATATTGTTGTGAGCAAACGAAGTTATATGCAATCGTTTTGTAGGTAAACGGAACCCTCTCGAAAGTCGAAGTCAATCCGAATGTTAATTATTGTTTTTGATATTTGATAAAACATATCTAACATTCCAGAGTTTTTTTTTTTTTTTAATAAATATGTGTTTCTGATGACCTCATAAACACAAAACTTTGATCAAACCTTTTTATCACCCAGTAGTAAATAAAGAATTATTTTAACGGCATAAAGTCGCTTTTTTAAAATAAAACTCTGATAAAGAAGGAGGTAGAAGCGCAGGCAAAAAGAGGGAGAAAGAAAGAGAACAGAAAAAATGAGAAAGACGGAGAATCAAGAATGGGACGGCGGAGGAAGAGAGAAATTGCACTGCACGTGCAGCGAGTTGACGGCCGACAGGCTGACCGGACGTTGACCGGTTGAAAATGGACAGTGTGTACCGCACGTGGACGACAAATGCAAAAAAAAAACAAGAGAGACAGAAGGAGAAAGAAGAAGGGGGAATGAGAATGACAGACAAAGAGAGAAAGGAGTAGCTCTGGGAAAAGAGCGGAAGATGCTGTCGAAGACCTTGGCATGCGAGACGGGGCGTCCTTTAGGACGGTGGAAGACTCTCCTTGACGATCTATTTTAGCTCCAGCTCCTCATTCCCTTCCCGTCGTCATTGTAAAGATACGTCGCGAAATTGAACAAAGAATAAGTATAATGTAATCGCGAAATACATCGTGCATATTTCGCATAAGTAGTGACATTGCACGTAAGATTTTTTGAATGAATAATAAATGTCTGTCTAGTTTAGGCTTTGAATGATTTTCGCCATGCATTTAAGTCTCTTATTTTCTTCTTAAATTTCTCGATTTAATAATCATTGTGTAATTATGTTTCGCGTGCATTTCATAATAAAACGAGATAAAAAACAACCTGCGATTGATGCCTATATGGTCTAGTATATTACATTATTTTCTTGTCTTATTGTATTAATTAAGGAGTCTATAATTTATGAGTTTAATTGATTATTTAATAAGAACTGCACATGATAATGGAATTAAAACCGATAATACTATAGTAGTACTATAGGTAGTAATTTTTTTTTCATCGTTATCTGATGAAATTGCCTGGTTAAATGTTTCAGTTATTACTCAGGGTTACTTTTAATTTTAATTTGTTGCTTCCTGGAAGCGATGAGCAAAAATAAAATCAGAGAAAAAAGAATTATCGATTAATAATCTCG